TGTTTTGATTTGGTTCAATGTTGAACCACAACATTTGTGGGTTGGCATACAAAAGACTAGGGCATAGGAATTAATAGGGTTTGTATTATAGATAGATAGAGGATAGAAACAGTGGAAGCTAGAGCTGGTTGGCTAAAAATAGTCATGATTTAAGAATCAGGTTTAAGATCAAACAGCTTTAGTCTCTACCTTGTCTTTCCTGTTTCTATCTCATAATACCATGACTATCATATATTATGTCTGTCAACCCACAAATGTAGTGGTTCTACTTGTTTTGCTAAGGCTCTATACAACGAAAGGAGACTGCGAACATACAAAAGGCCACACCATCTTGGTCTTCATAACTCTGATGAACATGAGATTGGAGGAAGGTTGAGTTAGCGATAACTTTGCCTAATGCCTACGAAAACTCGGGGAAAACAAGAATATAGCAAGGCCAGCAAAAAGGAGACTCCTGGATCAAGGATCTACCTCTTACCGGAGAAAAAGGGATCGCGATGATGAAAATGGGGGGCGGGGGTCTTCGGCAATAAAGCGAAGACGTCAATGCGTGATGTCCATTTCCAATAAACCAGTACAACTTTGGGGGCGTTATGCCCAAAATGCACTATAAATCCACTTAAGATGCCGCATGCGACCAGAGATAGGCGTCCACAATTTGCTCAGATGACATGGGTTTAGTCAAGGAGAGGACCTGTGTAGGGAAGGCCTGATATCTGCAAGCATGGGAATCGGAGCCTAAGCGCTCTACTCAGTTAGGCGACAGTGTACGTGCTGTTATGGCCTTGAGAAATAGCGCCTGGAGTGAAATGAATGCTGGGATTGGAACCAAATGCAATCAGTCAACCAGAGGAGTGATATTGTAACTATTTTCGGCAGAACGTTGGTAGATGTAGTGACTTCACTTGTCACTTTGACGATTTCGTAGCTTGGTGCAGAGAATGGCAAGACTGACTGATGATTCCGACTACAATGCCGGCGAAACGTTTGAGAGTGTAGCAAGTTCCCTGTCTGATGCAACTACTATGGCAGACGACTTCGGACTAGGTGCGCTCTACTAAGTCGCCCTGACAACAATACTAAGTTGCGACGAGGTCAACCCACTTTTATAATTTTCAATTTCAAAAGATAATCATAGCTGTATAGCATTATTGTGATGAATTCTATCAAGGCTAAATCACCCATATCTAAGAGGTTTATATCGTAGATTTTATTGTCTTCCGGGATACTGATAACCTACATCAAAATTCAACGAAGAGGGAAGGCTAAGATAAATATATAGGCATTATGAAGACTACCCATTTCAAAATGGAGCAATTCGACTTTCAGAAGAGGCTAAGAAAAGCTAGGCTTTGAGGAATCTCTTGGTCTATAATCGTTGAACTCATTTCTATTTCGACTCGATAATATGTGGTGAAGAGATTCGAAGGTAATCCCACCTAAAAAAGAGGGCGGATTCCTGTTGGTCATATACCGGTTCACTTTAATGGAACATGATTGCAAATGCCGATTCCAAGGCAATCTGCCTTGATTCCGTTGAAGTCGTAATAAGTGTTTGCCCGTCATATGACGAAATCATCAAAGCATAGTATTATTCTCATAAGGGTATTCAAGATAATGAGGCAAGTTACTGCTTTAATTCCTCTGGCTTTTTAACAAGACCTTGAGTCATAAACAATTTCGTGTTCAATTATTCTAGATTGGTAAACTTTATTTCCACTCAGGTTCAGATATTCAAAACCCAATTTTTCTACGTACCTCAGATATTCACTATTTCTTCATGTTTTTTTACTTAAAATTTGTTTTCCTCACTTTATTTTACATGAACCCTATTTTATCTCAATCTTATGTCAGCTTACCACTTGGGCCTTATCGAGGCCTCAACATTCTTCTCCCTCTTTATCTCATATGTTTGGTTGTATCCACTCTAGCCTGGACCTCAAAGCTCTATCAGAACCCAAGTGTCTGAACTTGTGATTGTTCGTCTCGACATTTAGTGTCAGTGTCTCGCAAACTGTGCTTGCGTTCAGCAGATAGCAGAAATCTTGCCTACTTACTCTAATGTAGTGTGTGTACTTTACATTTTTTTTCTTCAACTTTTAGGTTGAAATCAGCATCAACGGTGTGCCGATTCCCCATCTAACCATGCGTGTCGGTCCAACTGGTTTCGCTTTCTTTACTCTGCCTCCGTCATCAGTTCCGCTCCACGATGCTAAAGCCTATCTCCAGGTAGCTAGCAGCTAGTTGTGAAAAAGCCGTATGTTACTTTGTTTAAATCTCTCTAAGGTTTGGCTCTATATATGTGAAAATAGTATTACATATTGAACTCCGTGCTTTGCATGATCAGATGACCTTCAAGGTAAGCCTTGCAACCGAAAAGCCATAACTAGAAAGCTGGATACAAAACACTTTCATACGGATATTAAATAGCAGTTTATTTTAAAAATTTGGTATCACTAGATAATGTAGGCATCACAAGGTTACAATGAATCTTTTTGTTCTTTAATACAACTTTTAGATCCTATTATTGAGTAAACAATCCTTCCCTGCTTCAAATCCTATACTTTTTTCAGGTGATCTGCAGGCTTACATGCAAAATTCACACCCAAGATCCCTGCGCCTGAAGTTGTCTTAATTAAACAGATTGCTGAATTTGTAACAAATTATTAAGGGGAAAAATTGCTGACTTCTTTGCGTTATACGACCAAAAACATGGACTTGATTGCAGATTTTTACTATTTTAATCATTAATCCCGTGGAGAAAGATGCTCGACTCACTAAT